TGGTAATGTATTGATGATTGAAACTTGAAAGTGTGAATGAAATAATGGTAACGTCTCGGGGAGACGGCTTAGCCGATCGGGCCGTGATCGGACTCCGCTCACGGAAGCGGTGGTAATATGGACAATGATGCAACAGTGTGGGATGCTCCAATCTAAAATTTCAATAACTATGTGAAAATCATGTGAACCTCCTTATATTGTTGGCATGGTGCTTATTTGAAACTTTGTTGTCTTTACGATTTCCTCTTTACTCTTGTATGGTTGTTCTTTCTAACAGGATGTGTTTTGTTATACATACTAGTACTATTCCATGGTACTAACGTCCCTTTTGTTGGGGACGCTATATTTTTAAATGAATGTAGGTGGCTCCATAGCGGATAGTGCCGACTGTGTGTAGCGGAGCATTCTCTTCTAGAAATCTTGGTGAGCCCCTTTCTCTTTCAAGGGGTTATGTTGTACACCTTTTGTTATAGATATCCATTTTGAGGTATAGCCGGGGCCTTGTTGCCGGCATTGTTATCATTGTCTTTTGTATCCTTAGAGGCTCCGTAGACGTTTGTGTGGGTTATGTACGGGTGTTGGATAGGTCAATGAACCATGTTGTAATCTTGTACTCTTGCTTTCCTCTAAACTATAACTGTATGGAATCTTGGAAGCCTAACTACGGTTAAGGTTGTGTTATAAAATAAGCTATCCATGTTAAATGTACAACCCCTCTTATTGTCTAAACTAAACGGAAACCGGATTCCTTAATCACATTGAGTTGGGTAGAAAGTATTTGATAAGGCTTGCTCAGTTGGGTTCACTCGATTGAGCGCCAGTCGCGCCTCCCGAGGCTGGGGCGTGACACTTAGCCACTCATGTTCATACAATCATCAAAAATATATTTATTTTTTTTACGTAAAATCAATGAATACTAGAATAAGTATGGAAGAATTGATCAAATCCGTGCTCCCGAGTGTTCCGTACTTTTGTTTTCCTCTCAAAGTTTTGCCCTCCCCTCAAAATTATGTTTTTGGTGTATTTATACCGTGAAGAAACAAACCCGAACGAAGATACCCTTTCAAAGCCGAAGATGTCCGGGTTCAAGAACTTGCTCTATTTGCAATCTAGAATTTCCACTTTCGAGTTCAACTCAAGATTCTTAGATAGTATTTCACTGTTAGCTACACAGCAAAATAACTAAAAAACAGAATTAAATAAACAACCCGATATGATAAAACCCAACTCGTCAAATTAAACTTCAAATATCATATTCATGTGACACCAATACCCCAGAATATTAGGGTTCTTGGCCACTCATGTTCATTCAATCATCAAAAATAATTTTTTTTTACATAAAATCAATGAATACTAGAATAAGAATGGAAGAATTGATCAAATCCGTGCTCCCGAGTGTTCCGTACTTTTGTTTTCCTCTCAAAGTTTCATCCTCCCCTCGAAATTGTGTTTTTTATGTATTTATACCGTGTAGAAACGAACCCGGACGAAGATGCCCTTTCAAAGCCGAATATGTCCAGGTTCAAAAACTTGCTCTATTTAATTCTATATGCAATCTAGAATTTCCACGTTCGAGTTCAACTCTAGATTCGTAGATAGTATTTCACTGTTAGCTACTCAGCAAAATAACTAAAAACGNCCCGTAATTAGTAGTAAAACCCCTAAAAACCCTAACCGTTCCGTAAACTTAAAAAACTTTTAACCTTAAACTAAAACTTACTACCAATCTACATTCTAGTGACGACCAACTAGAACCCCAGAATATTAGGGTTCTTAGTCACTCATGTTCATACAATCATCAAAAATAATTTTTTTTTTTTTACATAAAATCAATGAGTACTAGAATAAGAATGGAAGAATTGATCAAATTCGTGCTCCCGAGTGTTCCGTACTTTTGTTTTCCTCTCAAAGTTTCATCCTCCCCTCAAAATTGTATTTTTGGTGTATTTATACCTTGTAGAAACAAATCCGGAGGAAGATACCCTTTCAAAGCCGAAGTAGGAAACTACTCCGCGATAGGGGTGGGCATAATACCAGCCGAACCGAAAAAACCGATCGAATCGTAAATTTTGGTTTTTCGGTGTCGGTGTGCGGTTTATAACTTATTAAATGTTTTTATTCGGTGCGGTTAATGATTTTGGTGTTTCGGTTTTCGGTTAAACTGAAAAAACCGTAGTTTGCAGCGTGCAATACAACCAAAGGGATAGTTATTAGTTAGGCGTTGGTTTGTCGGGGGAATTCTTCATTCTTTGCCTCCCCATTTTTGTGACTGTATTTCCTGAGCATAGTGTGAGATTTTTGTACACCCGCGCCGCGCTTGTGGGGATCATCAGCGGTCGTGTATTTTTTCGTGCCAGGCACGTTTTACATTGCCACGTCGCGCCCCGCGGTGCCCCATGTTGCGCGGCAGTGTTATTTTCTCAGAGTAAAATTGTTTTATCCTCTTTTGACATCCAGACTTGGTACACGACCTCCGAACACGATCCCGGCTTAAATTATTGGGTTTTTACTCAGACTTCAAAGCTCAAAATTGATCGATTCAGCTCCAAATTAACATTTTAGCTCGAAATTACTTCCTGCAAGGCATAAAACACGTTCTAAGTATAATTAACTATCATTTAAGCACAAACACACGTAAAATGCAGTAATCAAAGTGCAATACTACGGCTAAAACACGAGTTTCTAGCCTACCATCAGGTACCGTTGTGTTGTATTCATACCATGCTTCTGCACATCTTTTTTGTGCAGATCCAGGTACGTTAGCTCGTGCCGATCGATAGAGATTTCTTGCTAGCTGCTTTTACCTGAGACTTCAAGGTACGCTTGCTCGGCGTCGGCAGGCTCGGAGTCTCCTTCCCTTATACTCAGTTACTGTTGTATTTTCTAGCAAGTAGTGATGTATCAGATGTTTTAGTTATTCCATAGTGCTTATGACTCTGTTCCACAGTTCTTGGGGATTGTATGATTGAGACTTTGCTTTTAGTAGTTATATGAGTTATTCAAACTAGGTGGAGTATTTTGTTATTTACATCTGTTTAATTGTTGTCAAATATTAGGCTTACCTAATCATAGAAACTAGGTGTCATCATGACTACCTACGAGGAAAAATGGGGTCGTGATAAGAAGTTTCTTTAATTGTACTACAAACATTTAGCTTGTTCATTCACATGGATGGAATAAGTACATCAACCCCAAAGAAAAAAAGGGCGAGAAAAAAAAGAAGATAAATATTTAGAAATCTCAATATAGGATTGCACAAAAGCATGATAGAAAACCACTTTGTGGTAACCCAAAAATAGAGCTTCTGAAGAATGGATTTTCAGAATATTCCCCTAATGATTACCCTAGGGATTAAAGTAGTCAGTCAGTCAGAATTACATATTGAAAGATTGAAGAGTATACTTGTTTTTGCAATTCTTTATTAGAGAAAAAAACAGAAATAAAAAAGACACGTTCTGATGATTGAGGTATGTGTGAACAGCCTGGACTTGTGTGCATGTGTATTATTGCTGCAGAAGATGCATAGTACAACTTGATATAACAATAATAATAATAATAATAATAATAATAATAATAATAATAAATCACGAGTTTTAAAGAAGGAAATTAGAAATTTATTTCTCAATATAGTTGGCTGGTGAAGAAGGTAAAAATGAAGTTTTGGATTCTAATGATAGTTAGATTAATTTTTGCATAAGGGATATCTACAAATATAATATATCCATTTTAACTCCATGGGGCCACAAAAAAATGCACAGGTATGGTCTTGATGGGAAATAAGCCGAAATGTGGGATCATCGTTATAATGTCGCAACTACCAAATTTGGTCAACATTTCTATCCATTTTGAGGACACATAGAACAAAATAAAATTCAAAGGATTTAGTAAGACTCAACCTAACAAGTTTCTCTTGTTTCCATTAAGGTATGTGACTTCAATTAGAATGAAATTTGATATCAGGGTATTTCAAGTTTATGAAATGAATTCAACTTTCCTTCGTATGCGAAAGTATTGTTTTTAATTACTTCATTTACACTTTAATCTTTACAATTTGTAATTTATGATTGACAAAACGAAAAATAAGAAAAAGAAGAACCTAGTTTAGTTATATAAAAATTATGCAAAACTCAATGAGTCAAAATAATGATTTTAAAGTAAAAGTCACTAGCCAAATGTCAAAAAAATATTGTCACATCGACTCAATGTGACAATGTGAAATCAATTTGAATCCGTGGAGATTGTACGAAAACATTACCCTATAACATGTTAGTTTTGATGAGTCCACATTGCATCAATTTGAATCCTTGGAGATTGTACGAAAATATTATCCTATAACATGTTAGTTTTGACGAGTCCACATTGCATCAATTTGAATCCTTGGAGATTGTACGAAAACATTACCCTATAACATGTTAGTTGTGATGAGTCCACATTGCAAGTTACAATAAATATTAGTGTAAATTAAAGATTGGCCTTAACCCCTATATGAATGACTGGATCACAGGGAAAGTATGCTTAATTAACAGAATTGCTTATTAAAGTAACAAGATGGAGGAGAAGGTGAGCTAATCCATCAGGATTATGTCTCGTAAACCTTCATTATTCTAAACTGTCATTAATTATGCTGAGTAAGCATGATTAGGTACTTAGCTTGCATATAATAATGTTACTTTCATGGAAATCATGTCGTTAAAGCTACCTCTGCTGTAAAACTCCTTTATGATTTTCGCTAATTAATGAATGTGTGTTCGTTTTCTTTTCCTTTAATTAAAAGTTGACGTAGTTATAACAACTAGTTATTGTCAGATACCTACCAGTGTTGTTTATGCGTAAAGTAAAATGCATCTTTGAAAGCAATCTTCGGTTTCCTTGTCTCTTTTTCCTACTATTTAATCACAATACATAATGCAGTATTTTGTAACTACAACAACAAAAAAAGGAATTGCAGTTTACTCACCTCCCAAACCCCCAAACTGGAAAAAGAAACTTAATAATGAAAGTGAAACAAACAAAACACTCACTTCATATATACTTACAAGTGGATACATTTTGTATACAACTAGACAACTCTGCCTTCCAAAATAATAAACAAACCTCATATGATGAAATGATGCAAAAGATAAAGGATAAAGAAAAGGAACTTACTTACCCATTTAATCATTACCCTCTTAAAATTCAAAAAACAAAAAAATTCTTTTACTCCTAATTGTCTACAACTATAAAAATAAAAAAGACTTTTTGAGTACCTGGCACTGGAGTCTTTGTTGGACCTCCCCAGCTTTGCAAGCCAGGCATTCTTTTCCATTTGACAACATGCAAAAGACAGGGTGGCTTTACTCTATACCTAGTCTACAAGCACATACATTCATCATCCGCCCCTTTTGCCCAAAAGAGGTGGAGATTTTGACCCAACCCCACAAAAAACTGTTGGATTAACTTTTCAAAAATGACATTAACCATTTCCAGGAGCTTCCCTCTCAATTAAGGGATTTCCTTTTGCCGAATTGTTTTCACCATGACTTCAGATTTTTATCAGCTATTCGTAGATTGATCAATTGTCTCATTGATTTTTTTTTTTTTTTTTAAAGCAAAGTAGCTGCCAATATACTCCGAGATCATTCTCTGAAATTGACAAAAAGCAAAAAATGAATTAATTTAGACGATCTGGTAGAAATATATGATATTATTGAATCAAAGAGAAAATATAATTACCAAGTTATCTTCTTTGGCATGGTAATGGAGCAAGAAGTTGACTATAGTATGGTACCATCACTCAAGCTTCTTGCACGAAGCTCGACGTTCCTTAGATCACGAAGATGTTGTAGGATTTCCTGAAGAAGATCCATGCCTTTATCGCCTTTCTTCAACGAGCTTACACAGTTCTTTAGGAACTCCCTATCTGCCTCAAGGGATTGTAGCCTTTCATGGAGATGATCCAACTCTTGTTCCACAGCTAGCTTCTTGTTCTCTAAATCAAAGTCATGAACCCCATTTAGTGTACCATCTCCATTTTCATCACTCATTGAGTCAAATAGAGGAAGAAGTCTCTTTCCCTTAGCAATCACAATTCTTCTCTCATGAATATGATGATGTTTCCCATTAATTTCCTTGAAGAAACCATTGGCATGAGAATCTTCCTCTATATGGTTTCCATTATCTTGATATGAATCTTCCATCAGCCTAACATCCTCAAAATGTTTTGCATCTTCATCATCCAAACTGACAAGTCTTTCCTCCAAAATCTTTAGCTGCTCAAGAATCGCCATTCTCTCTTCCTCGAAATCAACCAATGATTCCTCCAAATTTATAACTGCACCAACAGGAGTGCTATGATTCATGCCTTGTTGGTGACAAAAAAAGCTATCATCTTCCTTTGCTTCTTGATTCAAATCAATAGAGAGTCCATCACTATCCTCAGAGGAGTATGTGCTACTGTCCTTGCTTCTCTTCAACATCCTCATCTTCTCCTTTGCCTCATATTCCAATAATCTTTTCCTATATGCTTCCAATTCTTTCTCTAACTCTTGCTTTTCCCTCTCCCTCTTCACCATAAGCTCATTCATTAGCTGCAAGGCTTCTTGATCGTACTCCGATTGTTCTTCCATCATTCTTTGGTATTGCAAAGCTTCCATCTGCATTGCTGCTTTCTCTTCTTGAAGCCTATTGATCATAGCCATTGTCTGACTTGCAGCCACAGCAGAAGCACTTCTCTCTTCTTCCAATTCTGTGTACAGAGAATGTAAAGCCTTCCTCTCAGCTTTTAATGCTGATTTCAGATGTTCGACTGTTGAAATTGTATCTCCACTCTCTAACTCGCTAACCACACTTCCATCCAGAGAATCTGAATCTTTCTTCTCAACAAGTAGCAATTTCTGATGGAAGCTATCAGTAGAAGTTGGTGTATCGGGAACTTTATTTTCTTCAGTCTCATTTAAGCTGGAGCAGATTGAGGACGGGTTGTTCATCCTATGTCCACTCAAATCAACAGATAATGTTCTCAATTCTACTTCTGTTTCTTGATATTCTTTATGACCTAATATGTGACACAAAAGAGTTTTTAGTAACTTTGGAAAGCAGAACCTTATGGGACAGGGTTTAATCCTCATTTTACTTCTTACAAAGAAATTATCGGAAACGAAAAAAACAACAGATTCCTTGCTGCGAAGAGAGTAACAAAATTTGGTTTTACAATGTAAAGAAAGAAATCTGAAGTTACCATAAACTTGTACTTGATGGAAATGAGCAGAATTTCCGGAAGGTTGTTCATGTATATATGAAGTAAGTGCTTCATCTGCTTGATCCAAATCAGGAATTTCAGTCCCAATTGACACTTCTCCATCAGTTTCATTGTTTGGCATTTCAGAAACTTCTTCTGAAACCAACAAAAAACAGTCCTATATACTTAAAGTAACCAAAAATACTAGTAAGTCATAGAAGATGAAGTGATAAATCTGGATTTTGCAGTAAATACCTGGTGAAACATCTGAATTTTCCTCTTTCTCTTCTTCCCTTTCCTTAGCTGCAAGAATTTGAACTTGGTGATATCTAGATGCTTCTTCAGCGATGGCAAATTGTTCATAAACCTCTTTGGCATAGAAAACCAAATCATTCTCCATAGATACAACTGCAAATTCAGGCTCCCTCTCACTCCCTCCCAAACAAACTTCAGCCTCTTCCTCCACAACTGCTTTAACCTCTTCCTTGACATCTTGATTTTCATCCTTCTCTTGACTTCTACTCTCATCTTCTTCATTTGCTGAATGGATTAATTCGACGGGGACCAACATATGACCACTGCAATCAATGAAGAATTCCAGATGCTGAGGGGGAATTTCAAGAGCTACATCCTCAATCTCGCAAGCTTGAACACCTTCATCTTTCAGCATCTTTTCTTTGTATTCAGTCACTTCTTCAAGAATTAAATGTACTTTTTCACCTTCCAACTTTTTAACATCAGAAGAAAGGAGCTGACTGTCACCATTTTTCTCGATTTTATCTTCATCCCTTGCAGCATAATCTGATCTGTTTTGATCCAAGTCATCACCTTTTTCGAAAAGATCATTAGCCTCAATGATCAAATTTCCTTTGTGTGTATATTGCAAATCATCCCAACAAGGTTTGATCAACATATAAGGAGTTGAAAACTTGGTCTCCAAGCTCGCACCACAGCAAGAACAATTCAAAGCCACCTCACCACCATTTTCCAGTGTCATTTCCTTGCCATTTTCTATCATTTTAATCCATGGAAAAAAGGCGAAATTATCAGAAACGCCAAGAAAACCAGGGCGAGCGGACGAGCAATCCTCGCACGTATCTTGTGATTCAGCTAGCCTTTGATGCTTTGAGCAGAATCCCAATTTGGAAACCTCCGTGGCATGAGCCTCACAAAGAAGATCTCTATGTATGTTCCTGTTTTTTCTATGATCAAACAGATGATCAACTCGAGAACACCATAAACATGGTGGTTTTAGACCAAAATACTCTGCAAACTTGATGATCAGATAGGAAAAAAGAGAGTTGAGAAGAAGAAGTACTATCAAAGTCCATTCCAAAACTGCATAAATCAGAATAAGAGTGATCTTGTTGGTGTTTCTGTATAACATGGTAGCAAACTTGTTAGCTCCCATTTTTTTTGTTGCTCTGTTTCTTTCTACTATACACACAAAGGAAAATACGGAGATTGTACAAGAATGAGTGGTGAGGTGGTAGGTGTTGGTTGGGGCCGGGGAGGATTGGGGGGAGGGGGGGGGGTAGGAAGCTAAATCAAGAATCAATGGAAGATAATCTTGAGAGAGAGGGGGGGGGGTTAGGATTTATGTAGAGAGGGTTGGTGGGGTGTGGAGGAGAAAGAAAGGTAGGAAAAGGGTGGAAGTAGATGAAGAGGAGTTTTTTATTTTAGACTGAAAAAAAAAAGGGCGATTTGAATAATGAGAAAGGGAAAGCCAAAGGAGACTTGATGCTTTAGAAAAGAATTATAATGATGTGACGGAAGAGGGAAAAAGAAAATAAGGCAAAGGAATTTTTTTACTAAAAGAAAGAAGTAATGCCTAATTATTTAAGCAATTTGGGAGCCTTGTTAATTATGACCAAGTCTAGTTGTCACACCATTACACATTAGACGGCTAACAGATTTGCTGAATCCTTCTTCGCGTTGTGCTTCACTTAACTGATCTAATGAGCGATGCCTAATTATTGCTTCACATTCACCAAACCATGAAGCCCTTACCTAAATTTCGTTTACTTTTTTTTACTCCTTTGAAACTAATTTTACATAGGATAAAATTATAATTCAATTATATTCTTAATATTTAGTATTTTAAAGTCAGCTAAAATTTTAGTTATTAAATCTTTTCTTATTTGAATTTCGTAAATATTTCTAATATTTAGGAATAAAAAATATTAGAAATTACAAGCAACTAAAACCGTTGGTCATACCCGAGTTTGAATAATGATCAAACATAAGTAAAATCTATTTAATAGATATTTATAAAGTTATTAAACTTTGAGCATGTTTGGCCAAGTTTCTGGGAGATCAAAAGTATTTTTTTTTCTTCTGAAAATTACTTTTTTATAAATTTAAGTTGTTTGGCCAAGACGCGGAAGTAGTTTTGGCCAGAAGTAAAAGCAGTTTTTCTGTTTTTGGGAAGAAGCAGAAAATTCTAGCTTGTTCCAAAAAGTAGAAGCAGAATCAGAAAATTAATTTGTTCAAGACAAAACTATCCTCACCATAAATTTATATTTTCTAAATTATCCCTTATAAATTATCCATTACTGATTTAAGCTTTTTCTTTTCTTTTTTTGTTTCTAGTTTCTACCATTCTTTTAAACATAGAAAATATCATATACATAAAATTGTAACTTCAAATTCTTTTTTTGACTTTTCTTTTGTTTTTGCTTCTTTCGATTGTCAATTTTCTTCATACCAATAATCATTTATAATTTCTTCTGTTATAGAATATTAATTCCCGAATCTTAAAACAGTTAGCAAATTAAATTGTAAAAATTACCTACAGATAGAAAATAAATTTACAAATACATCGCATAATAATTATAAATCCCAAATAATAAAATCAAAGAAAGATTTTACAAGCAAAAGAAGGAGATATGGCATCGCTTGGACTAGTTTTTTTTTTTTTTTTTTTAAGTTTCTGCCATTCTTTTAAAAATTAAAGATATCATATACATGAATTGTCACAACCCCAATTTTCCTCCTTAAACGGGCCGGGTTGATCCGTAACCGGACCGGCCCAGACCGAAAAAACCGGGAACCGGACCGGCCCGGTACAAAAGGGCCGGATGGGTCTGGGTAGGAGGGGTAGAGGGGGTTGGTCCGTTTAGTTTTTTTAAACGGTTAACCGGACCGGTCAAACCAGGTCCACGTGAACAGTAACGCTTACCGGTTTAACCGGCCCGGACCGACCTGGTACAACGGCTATAATTTTTTTTTTTTTTCGAATTATGTGGGTCCCACTGACCGTTGGCAACGATCAGACCTGGAATTGATCCGTTGGCCACGGGAGAATTGCATAAATAGCCTTTTTTTAATTTTAACCCTTTTTCTATTTACAAAATTAACCTTCTCGAAACTATAAATACCCCCCCCCCCCCC